AAAAAAAAAAAAAAAGATAATGAATTTTCCCCACAAAAAAGAAAAAAGAAAAGACTATTCTAGTAATTTTAGAAGCATAAGTGAAAACTTTGAAAACTTTTCGGTTCTGTTGTTCTTCAATAGAGATTGTATACATTCTTCCTTTGATTACTTTGTAACTATATTATGATTCTTGTTATAGATTACAGGCCAATTCTGGCTCAGAATGAGTCCAGTGATTTTGAAAAAACATCTTTATTAATAAACTGGATTTTTTAATGTAGCTAGTTATACCTATAAAAATGTAAGTAATATTTTGTCTTTTTCATTCTTGAACTTTTTTCTATTCCCTCTTTTATCGCTTAGTCAAAATCCCAAGCACTGCAGTCAGCAGATCAATAATGTCACAACCGGCACACTTGCCTTGTCCCCTTGCTGTTGGTATTGTTCGTTATTTTCAAGTGAAGGGATTTCCCTTTTAGTCTTAGTATTCTGTTTTTATCATACCTTGTTGAACTTAACAAATGCTTTCATGAAGTACAAAAGTTAACACATTTTTATTGTACAATATGGTGCATTTCAGTGAATGCATTTTCTGTTGTTGAGCCATCCATCTCTACATGTGTTTGAACCCTGATGGTGAGGTATTTATATACTGTTGGATTCTGTTGTTCAATATTTTATTTTGACTATTGCTTTATAAATAAATGAACTGAAAAACAGCAAACCAAAGTCACTATCAATGAGGAAATTCTGACTCATAGCAGCCCCATAGCGTAGACCTGCCGCTGTAGATGTCCAAGGCTCAGTCTGTACCGGAGCAGAAAGCCCCATCTTTCTCCACCCTTGTGGTTAGCAAGTAATTGACATATCATTTTCTTTTCAGGTACTCTTTATCTAGTTGTAAGATCAAGGTTTAATTAGCCTAAGAAAAATGAGTTGTAAGCTCTCCCTTTTTTCTTACAATTTATCAGAAAAAATTACATAAGATTGATAGCTATCTGCTCCTGAAAGTTAGGTAGGTAATCTTGAGAAAACCATCAAGGGTTTAAGACTTGTGGGTGGGGCAAGATTTTGATTGTCACATACTCATTTTCTCATGTTTTAATACATTTTCAAAAGTTTATGAGCTATACCTAGAAATTCCAAATGTTTGATATTTTCTATTTGTATAATTATCTTTTTTTAAAAAATCATTTTATTGGGGCTCATACAACTCCTATCACAATTCATACATATGTCAATTGTGTAAAGCACACTTTGTATAATTATCTTAATGGTCTTTCCAAAGAATTAGTATTTAGTTTTTTAGTGATTGCTGTAATTTTTAGTTATTTAATTGGTTTCTTCTTGATTTGGGAGATAAACTTGTTGGTTCTTTTGTAGCTTTTTAAATGTATAGCTTATGTATGTTTATATCTCTTTAAATCTATTTTAGCTGCATCCCATAGTTTTAAACATTCATTCCTTTAATGATCAGCTTTAAGTATTTTGTCATTTCTTCAGTTTCTTTAATATAGGATTACTTTTTATTTTTAGTTTCCAGATTTGAGTTTATATTTTAAGACATTCTGGTTTTGTCTGTTTGTTTCAAATGTCAAGTGATTCATAGAGGATATGTATAGTCTGTGTGACGCTAACCCTTTCTAGTTTGTTTTGTTTTGTTCTGTTGCATCTATTGTTGCTGATGAATTCTGGTGCCAGATTGGGTGTGTTCCTTTTTAGATAAACTTTCTCCCACAAAGCTTTTAGCAGAGTTTGTCTATTTTTGACACTTTTAATTTTAATAAACTATACCTAGATGTGAATTTTTTCTTATCCAGCCTGTTCAACATTTTTATAAGTCATTTCATTCTGAGGTCTTGCATCTTAAATTCTGAGAAATTCCCAGGTATTCCACCACTTCCCCCTTCCCCCTATCTCCCCCCCAAATTTATACTTATTTTCCTGAACTCCTCCTAGGTGGATGCTGACTTTTCTGTGACATTCCTTCACATCAAATATTTTCCTAGTTACATGTCCCAGGGGTGAGAGGCTGGACCAATTCCGATCATTGAGCTATCTCATTCCTCTGTGCCCTGCCATTGGGGGAGCCTGAGATTTCATCACAGAGGCACACACTTTTTCCAGATCGACCATCCTTGTAATTGTGCTGTTCTCAGGATGAAGGAGGAATGTTCTGGGCTGGCTGGCTTGTTGATGTTTCTTGTCAGCACCGGGCCCGCCCAGGAGGTACCTTAACTGCCTCCAGCTAGCACGGCTGCTTGCCTTACACAGAATAGTAATGGGGTGAGCTGTTGCTAAACATTGTACAAGATAAGAGAAATAGAAAAGGGCATAATTGGAAATTAGGACACACACACACACCACACCCTCCACACACCCCTTCTCCTTGTTTGTGCCACTTGTCTCTCCTAAGTCAGAGCTTCTTAAATATTTTCCACGCATGACCCATTTTCCCCTGAAAAAATTTTATATGACCCTGGGTATATAAGTATGTAAAATTAGTATACAAATCAACCATAGCTTTTAGAGTAATTAAATTTTTTGATAATATTGTGAAGCACAATATCGTAACTGGTGATATTTTTGGCTATGGCTATGAACCAAGGCATGTGATACCCCAAGGGCAACTCTTGCCCGAAACACCTCAGATTCCTTATGAGTTTGCTTTTGAGTTCCTTTTTGGTCATTGCGCATTAAGAAACTTTGTACTGTTGCCAGTTTTCTCTCTACCCCTGCATTCATTTGTGTGACCTTCTTAAACCCACAGTTTAAGCAGCTCTGCTCTGAGTTTCCATTTCTCTTTTCTACAGACACTCGATCACCACTTGCTTCAAAGGGATCTCTCACAGCTTTTCTGTTAAGTTCTGGCATCAGCAGCCACATGTCTAGGGTTAGAGAAGGGAGTATGGACAATGTGTATCCTTTTGACTTTGACTCTAATTGCCATGTTGTGCTTTCATGCTTTTTATTAGCCAGTAAATACTTGTTACCTGAAGTTATGATGATTGTGGTATAAAGTAAGTTAAACGATGTGTTCTTTTCCATCTTGTAATTTATTTCAAGATTAGCGTTAATTAGTAAATCATTCTGGTTTTCTTGTCATCTGTTTAAAGAAGATATTCCACATAAAGAATGTATGGCCTTGGAAGAATTAATTTGGCTCAAAATACGATTTTTACTTGTGAGTCACTAAGATAATATACAAGAGATCGGTTTTCCCAAAGGTTTTTTTTCCCCCCTTATTTAGAGTGAAGATGAAATCAGGACACTGAAACAGAGAAAAAGTAAGTGATAAAAAAAAGTAAGTGATAGTGTTAATGGCTCAATTTCTGATGCCTTTAAAAAGCCCTTGATCTGGTAAGGACAAATAAATATGTTCTATGTCCAAAAGCCACCTTGAAAATGGATGTGAAAGTGTATAGGCTCTGTCTTGTGATCTGGAATTGTCTGTGAGATTGAGGTCTCAGTTCATTTGTCTTTAGTGAGGGCTACTGCATGCTCAGGCCTAACAGGGGACGCCTCTCTCCCTTATCCAAGTGCTCTCAGTATGTCAGGCACACAGTGCAGCCCGTATAGAAGACTAGCTACTTAATTCATGGTACGTAAGAAGTTCTTGGTAAATGCTTAAGAAATAAGTGCCGTGGGCCACTGAGTACTTCTTACAGTGGCTGATGGACAAGTTGTGTCACTACAGGATGAGGGCTGGACATTGTTGTGCTTGTCAGTTATTATATTTCTCCTCATTTGCTACTTCCATTCATATCATAACCTTTTATGAATGCTTGCTGTGAGCCAAGTCATTATTCTAAATGCTTTGCTTACATCAGTTTATTTAATTCTTACAGTAGCCCTGAGGTAAGGACTATTATTTTCCCCCTTTAGGGAATTAAAATTATTTTGGTGGTTAGAAAATGAGCCTGAAGGAAACTACAGGGGCCAGACTTGCAGGGTAGTAGGCTGGCAACAACAGAGAGCCCATGAGGGGTTTCCAGGTAGGTATTGGTATGGACCTGATGTTCATGTCCATATAAGGCATTCTGTGCTGGATTACAAAGGGGAAGACTGGGAGCAGGAGGCCAGGTAAACTGTCACACCAAACAATACTCCAACGGCCTTAAATTAAGACAATGGTGGTGAAGGTGGGGATCAGGAACTCAGGACACCTGCGTACCTATCTGGAAGGATGCACAAGAGGAGAGGAGCTTATTTTTTGCTTCATACTTTTTGACTTGTCTATAATGAGCACTTTCCCCAAAACAAAACCAAACAAAACAATAGAATTAGTTCTTGATTAGAGGAGGGAGAAAAACAAAACAAAAAAGCAGTGCCATTGAGTTAATGCTGACTCATAGCATCCCCATGAGAGAGAGAGTAGAACTGCTCCTTTGGGTTTCTGAGACTGAGAGTCTTTATGGGAGGAGACCCTGGAGCAAAGTGACTGGTGAGGTCTAACTGCTGACTTTGCAGTTAGCAGCCCAATACATAACCCAATATGCCACCAAGGCTCCTATTGATTTAGAAGGGGAGATGTAATGGATGAGAAGGAGAGAAAGGAGCATGAGAGAGACCAGGATAACCTACCTTCTGGCTTGTACAAACTCCTGGCTTGTAGCTCACCCCCGGCTGTACCCCATTCCTTTCTTTTGAACTCCCCTCTGAGCAGAAGAAAGCTGCCATGATTGGGTGCTCACTAGGCCAAGCATGTGTGTCAGTGCTCTGGATATGAGAGGGCATTTAATCCTTTAGAGGTGCGACAAGCCCTGAGCCTTGACAAACAAAGCACAGCTCTCTTAGCTTGCCCTTGTTTTCACCTACTATTTTTATTCTTTTTTATTACAGTTTATGTTTTTTTCCAAATTTTTGTGTTTTCCAAATTTTCCAAATTTGGTTCCAAAGTAGCCACATTTTCCTCAAAGAAACTTCCAGCTCCCACAGTATTGCAGACAATGTAGATTGGGTACTTTTTTGTTGTGGGGACTGTCTTGTGCACTGAAGGATGCTTAGCATTTCTGGCTTCCACCCACCAGGTGCCAGTAGCATCTTCCACACAGAGTTGTGACCACTAGAATGTTTCCAGATACTGTCATATGTCCCCCGGGAAGCAAAATCCTCTCAAGTTGAGCAGCACATACTCTATCTGATGAAAAAGGAGTCCCTGGGTGGCACAAATGGTTATGTGCTCTCTACTTTAGCTAAAAGGTGGATGATTCTAATCCACCCAGAGGCGCCTCCAAAGATTGGCCTGATGATGTGCTCCTGAAAAGTCGCAGCTTTGAAGTCCTATCGTGTAGTTCTTCTTGACCCACATGGAGTTTCAGTGGGTCAGAATGAACTGGGGTGGCAACTAATCACACCACCTACAAGTAGATGATTAATGTCAGTGCCATTTGAGTTAGGGAGGGGTGCTCCTTGCCTTTGCCAGAACCTGGAGAAGCGGTGAAGAGCCCTGGCATACCTGGAAATGTGGCTAACATGGACATGTCACACTTGCTTTGTGCCTGACAGCCTCCTTCCCTCTTTCACCTTGGTGCTTTTGCTGGAATTCTTCCTGCTCTCGAAAGGGCCCTCCCTGTCCTTATACTTACCAAATCAATTGCATCTTTTCGATGTTCCTCTTCCTCATGAGAATGCACAAGTCTTAGTGACCTTGTCAAATCTCTAACATTCTATGAAGCAGTACTGTGATCCCTCAGATTTGAATTCTAGTCCAGGATTCTCGTCTGCCACTTAACCATCTAACTGGGCAGGGCACTTAACCTTGCAGGACCTCAGTTTTCCTACCCAAGACAAAGGGACTAGGCTGAGATTTCTCATGTTTCAGCCCTACAAGTTGCATGAATCTGTATTTGATTCGTTTGAAAGACACAGCATGGACCCTGGAGTCAAACAAGCTTGGATTTAAATTTCACCTCCATCCTCCTGACTGCATCTGTGACCTTGGGCAACTTGCTGTCCTCATTTACCAAATAGGGTTGATATACCACCTGCCTGAAGAAAGTTAATGTGATGCATATTTTTAAAACAATAGCGTTTCCTTGGTCTTCTTTTCTTGAGGCATGGACTGTTATTGTATATGAGGTGTCATAAATTAAAAAAATTAAGTCTTCCACAAGTTATTATAACAGCATTTTCATGTATTAAAATATATCTGTTCACAGTGTTGATCTCCCGGTTCCGTTTTTTTTTTTTTTTTTTTTTACTGCAAGGAATATTTATTTGGTAATGTACCATGAGAAAGACTGGGAGAGTAAACCTGAATTCAAGGCAGTCAGTTGACTAATTATTCCAGTGCTTCTGCATCTTTAGCTCACTTCAGAATCCCTCGGGCCTTTTTCAACTACTGATTGCTGGGCCCCACTCCCAGAGTTGCTGATTTAGTAGGCCTGGGTGGGCTTAAGAATTTGCCAAGTGGACCTTATGTGGCTGGTCTGGGGACCACACCTGGAGAGCTACTGGCCCAGTAGTTGTGAGCATTAAGGAACACCTGGCACTGGTCTTACTCATTAGGATTGTGCTGCTCTGGAAATGGTGATGTTTTATTTTAATCTCTGTATCCTAGTGCCTGGGCCAGTAGATTCCCAGTAAATATTGAATGAATGAGTTTGTGGACTTTACATATTTAATCAACCAAAAATTTAGTGTGTGTTGTTTTATATGGTTGCTTGCATTCCTATTTCTAAAGTTAATTCTTTCTCTATATTTCAGTTGACGAAACTTCTGAACAGGAACAAAAACATAAGGAAACAAACAACAGCAATGTCCAGAGCCTCAGTGCAGAAGAAGGGGGTGAAGAACAGGATGAAGACATCTTACCTTTAACCCTTGAGGAGAAGGAAAACAAAGAATACTTAAAATCTTTATTTGAAATTTTGATCCTTATGGGAAAACAAAACATACCTCTGGATGGACATGAGGCTGATGAAATCCCAGAAGGACTTTTTACTCCTGATAACTTTCAAGCTCTGCTGGAGTGCCGGATCAACTCTGGGGAAGAGGTTCTGAGAAAACGCTTTGAGGCAACAGCGGTGAACACGCTGTTCTGTTCGAAAACCCAGCAGAAACAGATGCTAGAGATCTGCGAGAGCTGCATCCGGGAAGAAACCCTTAGGGAAGTGAGAGACTCGCACTTCTTCTCCATTATCACCGACGACGTGGTGGACATAGCTGGGGAAGAGCACCTGCCCGTGTTAGTGAGGTTTGTCGATGAGTCTCATAACCTGAGGGAAGAATTCGTGGGCTTCCTCCCTTTCGAAGCAGATGCAGAGATTCTGGCTGTGAAATTTCACACCACCATCACAGAGAAGTGGGGACTGAACATGGAGTACTGCCGCGGCCAGGCTTACATCGTGTCTAGTGGGTTTTCTTCCAAGATGAAAGTGGTTGCTTCTAGACTTTTAGAGAAATATCCTCAAGCCATCTACACTCTCTGCTCTTCCTGTGCCTTAAATATATGGTTGGCAAAATCGGTACCAGTTATGGGAGTATCTGTTGCATTGGGAACCATTGAGGAACTTTGTGCTTTCTTCCATCGATCACCACAACTGCTTTTGGAACTTGACAATGTAATTTCAGTCCTGTTTCAGAACAATGAAGCAAGGGGCAATGAGCTCAAGGAGATCTGCCATTCTCAATGGACAGGCAGGCATGATGCTTTTGAAATTTTAGTGGACCTTCTACAAGCACTTGTTTTATGCTTAGATGGCATAAATAATGACACACATGTCAGATGGAATAACTGTGTAGCTGGCCGAGCATTTGTACTCTGTAGTGCAGTAACAGACTTTGATTTTATTGTTACCATTGTTGTTCTTAAAAATGTCTTATCTTTCACCAGAGCCTTTGGGAAAAACCTCCAGGGGCAAACCTCCGATGTCTTCTTTGCAGCCAGCAGCCTGACTGCTGTGCTGCATTCACTGAATGAAGTGATGGAAAATATTGAAGTTTATCATGAATTTTGGTTTGAAGAAGCCACAAATTTGGCAACCAAGCTTGATATTCAAATGAAACTCCCTGGGAAATTCCGCAGAGCTCAGCAAGTTAACCTGGATTCTCAGCTCACCTCTGAAAGTTACTATAAAGAAACACTCAGTGTCCCAGCTGTAGAACACATAATTCAGGAACTGAAAGATATCTTCTCAGAACAGCACCTCAAAGCTCTTAAATGCTTATCTCTGGTCCCCTCTGTCATGGGACAGCTCAAATTCAATACGTCGGAGGAACACCATGCTGACATGTACAGAAGTGACTTGCCCAACCCTGACACGCTGTCAGCAGAGCTTCATTGTTGGAGAATTAAGTGGAAACACAGAGGTAAAGATATAGAGCTTCCATCCACCATCTATGAAGCCCTCCATCTGCCTGACATCAAGTTCTTTCCTAATGTTTATGCTTTGCTGAAGGTCCTGTGCATCCTTCCTGTGATGAAGGTTGAGAGTGAGCGCTATGAAAATGGGCGAAAGCGTCTCAAAGCTTACCTGAGGAACACTTTGACAGACCAGAGGTCAAGTAACTTGGCTCTGCTTAACATAAATTTTGATATAAAACACGATCTGGATTTAATGGTAGACACATATATCAAACTCTATACAACTAAATCCGAGCTTCCTACAAGTAACTCAGAAACTATTGAAAATACCTAAGGGACTATTTAAGCTAGTTGTTTTTTTTTTCCCTTATGTTTGCCCTTTGGAGGAAAAGCTGTATGCTGTGGACAGGCCATGCTTAGTCACTGATTATAAGTGATTTGCCTGTAAGCCTCTGATCGAATACATTAACCATTGATAATCTGCCTATTTAAAATAGCCCCTCTTTGAAGATCTGTTCTTCCAGAAGATAGCATGAAAGTGGCCCGGTATGTTTCTTGTGATCTCTTGTGGCCCTCTGCAATTGTTTTAATGAAGTCACTTTAGACGGAACATTTCTTATCACTGGATCCAATGATCAGGTATTAAGTTACAGTGCTTTCAAGAAATAAACTTTGAGGAGGAGGTGCTGGAGGGGTAGGGAATGCATTTTAGCATATGTAACAATGAATCTCAAGACTAATGTTTGACTTAGTGGGAGTTAATGTTAAAAACCTGTAATGGATGATTGGAGGAATTTCCAGAGTGAGACAAACTGAGCTCCCAGACAAGAATCTCAGTGTAGATTTTATCTTTATCAAATGAACCTAAAGGAACAAGTCACAGTTGAAGTTCGAATGGAAGAGCTTGCCTTTGTTCCACATCTGGTTGCTGCTGTGGACATTCCTTTGCTGAGCCGACACCGTCATCAACTTTTGAGCTGGTATCTGCTGAACACACCGTCTCATGGTCAACCCAGAATCAGAGGCCATGGACACAGCTGATAGTCTCTTTTTTCCTTTGCCTTTTCCATGTCTAGATCCACTGCCTCATCCTGATTTATAAGGAAAAGCTGGGAAAACCTACAAGATCAAATGCTTTGTGGTTTATTTAGAAATATTACTGGTATTTTTGGTGAAGAAAATCAATTTTGTATAGTTTATTTCAATCTAAATAAAATGTGAATTTTGTTTATAGTTGAGGTACATTGTTTTTGGTGGGGATAAAACCAATTCGTATGGTAAAGTCTAAAATATTTGATTACTTTGACTTCAGAATTCTTTAAGATATTTTTTTGTGTGTTTTTGTTTTAGGTGATAGCTTACACAGCGATCTAGTTTCACATTCAGCAATTTATGCACACATTATTAAGACCTTGGTTGTACAATCCCTACACCCTTATTATTTCCACCCTACATACCCTGTTTCCAAGGAGACCTGCTGGTATAAGCTGTGTGATAAGCTGCTAACTGGAAAGTGGGCAGTTCAAACCCACCAAACCACTCTGCAGGAGAAATATGAGGCAGTCTGCTTCCCTAAAGATTCACAGTCCTGGAAACCCTACCTAGGGCACTGTGAGTTGGAGTTGACTTAATGACAGTGGGTTGGGCTTGGGTTTTAGTTCCCCGATTTCATCCCTCCAGTTTCCCTGTTCCTCCTTGCCTTTTGGGCAAATGTTACATTTTTGGTCCTGTATGGTTGATTGTTCTAAGGAATGCAGGCCTTGTGGATTTTATTTATTTAATAGGCCAATTTGACCACTGGGCGTAGCTTCAGTTTCAGGTTAAAAGGATATGACCTTTCAGGTTATGACTATAGTCTTCTATGTTCTGCACGTCTATGTAATAAGCCTAGTCCTTTTTTTAAAAAAATAATTTTATTGGGGGCTCTTACAGTTCTTATAACAACCCCTACATCCATTGTGTCATGCACATTTGTACATAAGTTTCCATCATCCTTTTCAAAGCATACTCTTTCTACTTGAGGCCTTGGTATCAGCTCATTTTTATTCCTCCTTCCCCACCCTCCCATCCTCGTGAACCTTTGATAAATTGTAAATTCTTATTTTCATATCTTAGACCATCCCATCCACTATCTCCATGTTTCTGTTGTCACCCTGAGGGGGAGGGTTGTACATTGATCATTGCAATTGGTTTCCCCTTTCTCCCCGCCCTTCCTCCTTCCACCTTAGCCCTACCCTCATGATATCACTATTCCCATTATTGTACCTGAGAGGTTTATCTGTTGTAGATTCCATGTGTCGAAAGCTCTTTTCTGTACTAGTGTACATGCTTTTGTCTAGCCGGAATTGTAAGGTAGAACTGGGGTCATATAGTAGGGTTTGGGGGGAGAGCTTTAAAGAACTAGAGGAATGTATGCTTCATCAATGCTATACAGAACCCTGGCTGGCTCGTTCCTTCCTTGTGACCCTTCTGTGAGGGGATGTCCAGTTGTCTACAGATGGGCTTTGATTCTGACCCCCCTCATTTGCATCGATAAGATTGTTTTGGGTTTTCTGATACCTGATCCTGTTGACATCTGATCACACAGACTGGTGTACTTCCATGTGGGCTTTGTTGCTTCCCGGCTAGATGGCCGCTTGTTTAACTTCAGGCCTTTAAGATGCCAGCTGCTATATCTTTTAATAGCCAGGTACCATCAGCTTTCTTCACATTTGCTTATGCACCCATTTTGTCCTCAGCAATCTTGTCTGGAAGGTGAGCATCACAGAATGCCAGATTATTAGAACAAAGTATTCTTGTGTTGAGGGAGTACTTGAATAGAGGCCCAATGTCCGTCTGCTACCTTGATACTTGATAAAAATGTTTAAATATATGTGCATAGATCTGTTTCCTTATCGTCATATATAAATATACTTACATATGTACATGCCTGTATTTAGACCTCTATAAATGTCCTTTGCCTCCTACTTCTTCTATTTCCTCTTGCTCACTGGTCTTGTTCGACCATCATTTGGCTTTTAGTAATTCCTCTCGGTTACATTGCACTTGATCAAACCCCACCAAGGCCTAGTCTTTTTTGTGTGTCTTTGGTCACTTGATAGTGGTAGCCGGGCAGCATTATAGTTCTTTTGGTCTCAGACTAGCGGAAGCTGTGGTTCTGTGGGCCATTAGTCCTATGGACTAATTGTTTCCTGAATCTTTGGTTTCTTTTACTCTTTGTTGCTCCATATGGGGAGAGACCAATAGTTGTATTTTAGATGTGTGTTTACAAGCATCTATGATGAGGCTACTCATCAGAGTAGGATGTAACGTGCCTATAAATTACATTATGCCAATTGGCGTAACTATCACCAAAGACCCTGGTCCTTATCCTTCAAGTCCAGCAACTCAGTCCCAGAACGTGCTGTTCAGATATGTCTTAAGAAGTTTCCATGGCTGTGCTCCCTATATGCCTAATATTGATATATATGCAGCAATACAAATGTGTATGTGCAAATGCCCACAGCTTCACCTATATATGCATTTACATATGGTCCCATATTCCTTCCTATACCTAGTAGTATACATATATACCTATGTAACCACTTAAAATTTTGGTCATTTATTTGGTGGTCACTGCTGTTGCAAAATGGAATATCTTACAGCATTTACTCTAAATGTCTCCTATGCTTGTATATATACCTCTCAATGTCTTCATTTACCTTGGCCACATGTGTCGATTTTCCCCATATTTTAAATATCTTTTCCTTCACCAGAATTAACATATGTCTATTGTCTAGTAAGTGATTATCTTTCCCTCTATCATCTCTAGTAACCATCAAACCATGTTGCTTTTTCTCTGTGTAAAGGTAGACTTTTGTTTCCAACCTTTTATTGTGGTATGTGTGAAAGTTTGTGGGAAAAAATTTGCTTCCATTTGTACACACTTTGTTTGGTGATGTTAGTTCTAATCTCTTCAATGTACTAGCCCCTTTCCTGCTTCCTGGCTTTCATTTGCCCATCTTTCCTGCCCCGGCCTGCCTTCTGAATTGTGGTGTTGGATAAATACTGCTTCATGTGATATTATCTGGTTGATCTGAGGATTGCTTTTCCTCCCCGGTGTTACTCACCTTATAGGCCTATTGATTGGCTGAAAGGTGATCCCTTGGGGCAGATTCAGCTCCAGTTTTGAAGAGTGTCCCCATGGGACAGAGTTGCAGGGGTTCTATTAGCCTCTCTCCGGTCTGGTCTTTATTGTTTTGAATTTTGTTGTACATTTTTCTCCTGTTCTGTCTCAGGACCTTCTATTTGGTGGTAATCAGAGCCCACAGTAGTGGAAGCCAGGCACCATGTAGTTCTGGTTGAGGCTGTGGTTTGCGAGGTCCCTTAGTCCTTAGCATTCATTATATTGTCTTACATCTTTGATTTTTGTCCCTCCTCTTTGCTCCCGATGGGGAGACCATAGTTGCACCCTAGATGGTTGCTGACATACTTTTATGGCTCCAGCCACTGCTCACCAAAGTAGAATGTAGAACATTATGGACTATGAACACCAATTGGCTCAGATGTCTCCTGAGTTTTGTCCTAAGCCCTCTGGTTATGGCTAAGAAATTTGTCTAACTTAGCCCCATATATGCTCTACTATATTCCTACATATAATTACAGAACATTATAAATACATATGTAGAAATATTTTCTACCAAACATGTTCATGAGTGTACTCCCATGCACCGTCCCACACCTGTTCCGCTTATATATGTATTCATTTCTAAGTTAGTTGTTAGGACTTATTGCAGGATTGTGTATGCAATAGTGTTTACCATTCTTGCCTTTGACTTTTGCAGACTGTATTAGTCCGGGTACTTTGGAGAAACAAATCCACAGCAACTCACGTATAAGAGAGAGTTTTATGCAAAGAAAATGTGCATCACGAAAACATCCCAACCCAATGCTGCCCAAGCCCACAAGTCCAACATTAACCCATACCCAACACCAGTCCACAAAGTCCTTCACCTCACAAAACAGAGGCAATAATGCCGACTGCAGGAGGAAAGCTGAGCCAGTGAACGTGTAAGCATCTCAGCACTGGCAGGGGTCTCCACATGGCTGCTCCAGCACCCAGGGCTGCATCGGGATAGATCCATGCGGCTTCTCCTTGGGGATGTCTTGTAGGACGTCAATCTTGCAAGCTGAAGCAGGGAGCTGCTAAGGCAGCTGCATCCTGGTGCAACCATCACAAAGCAAGAGACCCGAGAACTAGAAAGGCTTGGCTTCACCACCCATTTATCCTTCCGCCTTTCAACCAGCCCCACATCCAGTGCCTGCCTTTACCGTGGACACTTGGTACTGACCTCCCTTATTGTGTATTGTTTTTCCCTTCACCAAGTTAATACATGTCTACTGTCACTTTAGTCATCTTTATCCTCCTCTCATCCCTGGTAACCATCTATGAATGCTGTTCTGTGTGCAAATTTGCCTCTGACTTTTTATGAAAGTCGTGTCAGACTATGTGTGCCTTTTGTGATTGACTTATTTCCTCAGCACAGTGTCCTCCAGATGTATCCATGGCATGTTAGGAGGACTCGTCATTACTCCTTATTGTTGAGCAGTAGCCCATTTTATGTATGTCACATTTTGTTTGTTTAGTCATTGATGCACATCTTGGTTGTCTCCATCTTTTCGCATTTGAATAATGTGGCAGTAAACTTGGGTGTGCATATGTCACACTTGTTGTTTCTCTTGGATATGTACCTGGGAGTGGGATTGTGGGACCATGTTTTTTTCTATTTCTAGATTTTTAAGGAAGGTGCCATATAGTATAGTGTTTATACCGTTTACATTCCCAACAGCAGCATATAAGAATTTTAATCTCTCCACAACCTCTGCAGCATTTGTTTTTTTTTCTTTTTGATCAGTGCCATTTTTACAGTGAGGAAATGACATCTCATAGTTTTGCATTGTTCCCTCTAATGGCCAATAATTGCAAGCATCTTTTCATATGCTTGTTAGCTGATTGGAAGGTTAAATAGTGAGCATAAGTATTTACTTTTTAGGAGGTCCCAGTTAACCTTATTGAAGAAATTGGGCAGCACATCTGACCTCCGGATCCTAAGGCTGATTGCCACAACAATGGGTCAGACATGCCTCTGCTCTCCATCCTTCTTAACTCTAGTCTAACACTAACTGTTCCTCCCACAGTGCTCTTCTCCCCCCGCACTCTACTTTTCTGCTGCAGTTGGTATTCTTGCAATGGC